GCCGCAAGAACAAGGTGAACATCCGTGATGTCCCTGCATTCGCGAATCTTTATGTCACCCGACCGTCTTAATGGCAACTGAACACAGTATAAAATTGTAAGAGACGCGAATAATTAAGTAAAAATTTGTTAAGCGGGACACTCACATAAGAAGTCAGTGCAGCGAAAGATACGGAGACGTTTTTCATCGTCTCAATAGTATGTGTGATCATCGCGAAAGATCACAAGCGACTGTGGCAATGCTCGCTTCGGAAGGGCACGGATTGTTGTTAAAATTTCATATGAGATAATACGTTCAGAATATCAAAATAGGCATCGTTCAATAACTCCGTGTCCTTGTTTAAGTTTATACCGTTTGCCTGTTCCTTTATATGTATCATCTCAGCCGTTAATCTTTTTTTATAATTATGTTTGATTTCCAAAATGCGAGCATTGTCCCAATCAAATGTATGACCGAATTTCACGCTATGCTCAGAGACAACCGTATGCTTTGTTTTATCTAATCTAATGTTGCTTTTATGCTCTTTTAATCTCGTTTGGAGTTGCCTCTTTGCCTGGCCGACATAGGAAGCATCACAATTTTTGCAATCAATCTTATAAATTATATCAGTATTTGTGAGAAGGGCGTTCTTATATTTATGAACCTTAATAATGTTGTTAAGTTTATTTAAAATGCGATATCCCACTAAATTTTCTGATCTATCCACTGCTGAGGCTATAATTTTTGAAATAGAATTTAAATATGGAATAGCGATAAAACTTTTTTCTTTTTGTAAACTTACAGCATTATTATCTCTTTTAGTATTTTTTGTTAATTGTAATTTCCTCAGTCTTATGTTAATTCGCGAGAATATTAAATCAATGGGATATCCATTGCTTTGTAAAACATGATGATAAAAATTAAATTCTTATTAAAGAACCTCGGGTTTGACAATAATATAGCCCTGTCGACTAGGCTATAAATTGTTCCAATTTTATGTTGGAGTGAATGATTGGAGAAGAAACTCAGCAGTCTGCCCGAAAAGGTCTCCTTATGAAACCAATCTGTTATGATGGTATCATTTTCTGTTATAAGCATTAGGTCCAAGAAGCTAAGACAGCCCTTGTCTTCGAACTCTATTGTGAATTTAAGCCTATCGTGGTAACTATTAAAATATTCCAGCACATCAATGACTTTATCTCTGTGAATTTTCATAACGATGTCATCCACATACCGCCTATAAAACGACAAGTGGAAATCCAATGTACCCATAACCCTTTCTTCTAAATATTCCATGACAATGTCAGCCACTGTTGGAGACAAAGGGGAGCCCATTGGAGATCCGAAGGTCTGTTTGTAGGTGACACCGTTAAATGTGAAAAAAGTGGAAGCCAACACAAATTTAACCGCATTCATAAACTCACTAAGTGATAATCTCGTTTTTGTTTTAATAAACTTCCACCTCTTCTTTATGCCCTCCATAACTAATTCTGATGGTACATTAGTAAATAACGATACGGCGTCCAATGAGATTAAAATCTCGGAATCTTGCATCCTAATTTCAGATAGGTCAGCACACAATTCGGAGCTGTTATTAACGTGACTCTTTGGTTTAGGCAAGCTGTCAGCCAAAATTTTTTGTAAAAAGGATGCTAAATTGTACAACGCCGTGTTAACCGAAGAAACAATTATTCTATACGGAACGTTCTTTTTATGTATCTTTGGAAGACCGTAAGTTTTAGGAAGTATGGAATCACTAGAATGTAAGTAAAAATGCTGCCCCTTCGTGATGTACTCCCTCTCCAGCCATTTCTTTATCAGAGCATTTAATTCCCTTTCTATTCTGGCAGAAGGATTTCTTTTAGCTATTTCATAAGTGTCTTTATCATTGAGCAACAACTCCATTTTTCGTATATATTCGTTTTTGTCTAATACCACCGTGACATTACCCTTATCCGCTCTTGTAAAAATTACGTCCGGATTAGTTCTTTGAAATTGACTTCTTATGTGAGTGTCCCGCTTAACAAATTTTTACTTAATTATTTGCGTCTCTTATAATTTTATACTGTGTTCAGTTGCTATTAAGACGGTCGGGTGACATAAAGATTCGCGAATGCAGGGACATCACGGATGTTCACCTTGTTCTTGCGGCGGAGGAGACGACCGACAATATACATTTGACGAATACCTGAGGTGTTTGACTTTTTACTTGTTGCGACGGTTGCGAATTTTCAGTCCTTTTTAGTGTGATTTGATGCGTTAAAGTTTAAGAAGCGATTAAATTGGAATTATGCGGTTTGTTTTGAAGAAAGCCAAGTAAGGCTCGAAACGTCAACGTTGTTTTTTATATTGCGAACACATTGTTGTTAAATTGACTTTATTAAATATACACCTATTAATAGCTCGTAATTTGGCCGTTTCTATTATTTAACTATTCCAATAAATGTTCCACGCGGAACATTTTGTTCTGTGTTTTGTTTAAAATATACATGACGATAATCTCTTCTCTAACAATACAAAAAAAAATAATTTTGGATATAGTTCCGAATGACCCCTGCTCCCGATCGACTTAAAACTTTACAGATAAGTTGTTTTCTGGTAGTTTGGCTCTGGTAACCAGAGCAGTTAGCCCTATAAAACCTGTACAATTTTTTGTTCAGCATTAAAAGTACTACCAGAAACCAACATCAAATTAAGGCGCCAGGGTTATCCGAATCTAACCAAATAATTAATCATAAATTAAAAATGTCCTCTGTAATGAGTATGCAACTACTATCTGATTCATGGAACCTTTTTGGGTCATCTGTGTTTACGCAAACAACGCTGCTACGTCTAAACTAATATCAATTCGCAGCGACGTAATGTACCGAGTATTTTACCTGGGCCGTTATCATTTAATATTAATTATATTTGCAGAAATACCTATATAACTAGTTATAAATATTATTTTTTACGAACTTTATGTAAAAAATACGTTTATTGACTCCCCTCAGGGTTGCAAGGCGTTTTGTAGGGACGTTCCCAACCCTTTATTCAATTCTCATCCAATACTACCCTTCTCCTCTCACTTAACCCTTTGGACCAACGGCTTAACGGCTCTTTCCGAAAGACGGAGCCCATAGTTTGCTCCGCACAAGAGCCTATCTTGCACGAAGGGCGCAGCTTTCGGAAAAAACTTTCCATGTTTACATGGCTCTAGTGGAATCGAACCTGGTTCCTCAGATTACGAGTCTGGCGCTCTACCACTAGACCACACTGCTGCCTTCCCTATGAACTTTATGTATTTTTATTTAATCTACTGCTGCCAACAGTCAACGTATTAATTACATGTTGTTATTGTTAGGAGTATGGACGAAATCTCGCGTGCAATTATAGAATTAAAAAGTAGCGATTTATTATAACACACAGTGTGAGCATTCATTAATGAGAAGTAGGCTGCATTGAACGACGTTACAATGATAAACATGTTACTTATTCTTTGTCTTCTATATGAATGCATGGAGTGTTTTTTCGTTCAATTCCGCTAAATGTTCTTTTAAACTGCTTTAATTATCGCCTGCCGTTCTGCCTAAATATAAAACCTAACAGTTATCATTAGATATGATATAATGCAAGCTATAAGAGTTGACAAATATCACAAATTATATGAAGGACAAAAAAGTTATAATTTTATCAAATTCTATTTAATAACTTTGTACAGTTTCAAGTAGCCAACTTGACCAACTATCTAATATTCTATGAATAAAATTCTACAAATACAAAGAAGTTTATTATAAATAATTAAGAACTGAATTTATATATAGATACATAAAATGTATATTTTTGAACTTTGATTAATTTAAAATGACAGACTTAATATAATGGCTAAAAAATTTAAAATATTGTTTGGTTCGCAAGAAAACAAGAATTTTTATAAATTTTTCCTTTATTTTAAATTAAAAAAATTTTGACCTCAGATTTAGATTCAGCGACTTAAAAGAACTCCTGAAAGTATCTTTTTTTATAATTTTATTAACTCTTTTGTCAAAAACATTTTTGGCCTACAAGTATTTTTTTCACTTAACAGCTAAGGGATAAAATATCAACTTCTTGTATAAAAATAACTTATAACTGCAATATTTTAAATAATTACTGTAGCTATTTACTTTTTAATCACACTAAGAAATAATACTTTTGTTCAACAATTTAGTAACGTAAACGAGTACCTATAACATTTTAAATGATATCATAATTAAAACGTCTATCGCAAGTTTTATATATGTATAATCAGTCGTATGTAAATTTACAGAAATGTTCTGAGTATATTTGAGTACTTCAGAATCATTGGTCTCACATGTGGATTTAGAACAACAGAGTTAGACATTTCTTCTACTCGAGGAACTGCAAGCATCGCTTAAGGAGTAAAAAAGCGTATATTGATGAGTAATTATTCGACTTGCTTTTAACATTATGCAATTTATTTTATACATTCTATTCTCAACAATAATAATAAATTTGAGAAATTACTTTAATGTACATAAACCGTAAATTAATTACTATAATAAATATAGAATACAAATAATGCATTGACATTTGATGTCTATTTTTGAAATCTAAAAATGATAATTTGTCTATATATAGTTTTGCAGTATATGCGTAACTGTAACCTCTCAAATAACGATTAATTTTTTCTTGTTAGATCATTGTGCATATAAATGCAGAAAGACCAATTTAATATCAATGGACAGCATTGTCGTGAATTCCAATAGAAATTTGTCAACGAGCACGCATCCTGATTTACGCAATCGAAAGAGAGATGAAACAAAAAGAGATGAAACAGACACTAATGACGAGTAATAATTCACCTTGCATATGTGACAACACAAAAGGAAAAATATATTACGAATTCAATATGTATTCACTTTTTAAACAAAGTTTCTCGTTTATTTTGTGTACAATTTATATAACGTTAGTTTATATTATAATTTTTTTTAAGTATATACTTTTTGTCTTTTGCTTTTATATTTCTAGTGTTTATTATGCAAATTTTTATAACTCTGTGCGTCATTCTAGCAAAGAAATAATAATGATGACTATGTCCATTTTTCTTGCAATATTATCATTTCTTATATCTTAGGACAAGGAATTTTCTACTAATTATTAGTAATTTCGAGCATCACTATATAAATAATAGCTGAAGTAATTACAAACATGTGGGAAAAATATAAACTAAGACTGCTTTTGACAAAAATCGCAAACATATAGCCTTATTTAGAAGTGCTTTCATCTCCGCAACAATTTTCATGTGTCCATAATTTGCAAACATTGCACATAATCCAGTCTTCATTTGGTGGATACCACGTATTGTTCCTGGAAAAATAAGCAATAATAATCGTGTTCTTTTTCCTCCTCGAACTGTCTTATATTTTTCTATTTTAATTGTCAAATTTTTTAATAAAATAATAATTTTTTTTTAAAGAGTATTTCCCATTATAATAGTCGAAATGTCCTCACTCCGCTTTTCGAAAAAAACCTATTGGAACTTATTTGTAAACTAAAAAAAATAACTTTTATTACCCTGCCCGCCTCCCCCGCCTCCCTCTCCTTCCTGGGGTGGCTAACAACCCCTTTTCTTGCATATTAATTTTCTTCTCGAAAATCTCTTGCTAAAAAAATCTGTAAAAATTTGAGTATATAGGAGACATACACCAGAATATACCTAAATTTTTTCAGATTTTCTCAAGATCATTTTCAAGGTAAAAAAAATTTTAAATTGTTATAACATTAAAACAAATCATACATTAAATTTTATTTTTTTTAAATACGTATTCTAATTTGTTCTAAATATACCAACCAATTTTTTTAAGTTTTCGTAGGTGCGCCGTCTTCAAAAATGCGAAAAACTGTATTTTTTAAGTTATTTTGCCTTCTATCTCGGGAACGCCGAGGCCGAAATATCTGAAAAAATTTGGGTATATAGGGGCCATACACCAAAATATACCCAAATTTTTTTAGATTTTCCAGGGTCATCTTCAAGGTCAAAAAAATTCAAAATAATTGAAAACCGTTATATTTTCAAAGCTAGGAAAACGGCAATCCCAGATTTTTTTGAAAAAAAAAAAATAAAGTAACGATTATATATATATATATATATTTGTTAAACTTTTGAAAAGAAAATGGCAGTTCCTAGTTTTTTGCCTTTCTAAACATTTTTTTCGTTAATTGATTGTCGGATAGCTACATAGTTCAACAAAAGTATTCATTAATTATAAACAATTTAAAGAGACTACAACACTTTTTAACTTTACTACAAAAAGCTCTACAAACAAAATACAATTAACTACAAACAAATTTCTTTTATTTTATAATATGTTGATGTATCATATATGATGTTAACCGACGACTGATCGATTTCACACCTAAATAGGTTTCACATCTAAAAAAATAAATAATTTTTAATTAAATATTTAAAGTGTCAGTCGTCGGCTATCATATCATATGACACATCAACATATTATAAAATAATAGAAGTTCGTTTGTAGTTAATTGTATTTTGTTTGTAGAGCTTTTTGTAGTAATGTTAAAAAGTGTTGTAGTCTCTTTAAATTGTTTATAATTTCACCTAATTTTTAGGTGTGAAATCGATTGTATTTTGTTTATAGATTATTGTAGTGCATTTATTTTTGTTTGTTAGTCCATAATTAATTTTTAATTAAATATTTAAAGTTTCAGTCGTCGGCTAATATCATATATGATACATCAACATATTATAAAATAAAAGAAGTTTGTTTATAGTTAATTGTATTTTGTTTGTAGAGCTTTTTGTAGTAAAGTTAAAAAGTGTTGTAGTCTCTTTAAATTGTTTATAATTAATAAATACATTTATTGAACTATGTAGCTATCCGACAATCAATTAACGAAAAGAAGGTTTAGAAAGGCAAAAAACAGAGAACTGCCACTTTCTTTTCAAAAGTTTGACAAATATATATATATATATACATATAATCGGTACTTTACTTTTTTTTCAAAAAAATCTGGGATTGCCGTCCTCCTAGCTTTGAAAATATAACGGTTTTGAATCATTTTGAATTTTTTTGACCTTGAAGATGACTTTGGAAAAATCTAAAAAAATTTGGGTATATTTTGGTGTATGGCCCCTATATACCCAAATTTTTTCAGATATTTTGTCCTCGGTGTCCCCGAGATAGAAGGCAAAATAACCTAAAAAATACAGTTTTTCGCATTTTTGAAGACGGCGCACCTACGGAAACTTAAAAAAATTGGTTGGTATATTTAGAACAAATTAGAATACGTATTTAAAAAAAATAAAATTCGATGTATGATTTTTTGTTTTAATGTTATAACAATTTAAAATTTTTCGGAATTTTTTTTATCTTGAAGATAACCTTGAAAAAATCTGAAAAAATTTAGGTATATTTTGGTGTATGTCTCCTATATACTCAAATTTTTACTAATTTTTTTAACAAAAGGTTTCCGAGAAAAAAATTAATATACAAGAAAAGGGGTTTTTAACCACCCCAGGAAGGAGAGGGAGAAGGGGGAGGCGGGCAGGGTGATAGAAGTTATTTTTTTTAGTTTACAAATAAGTTCCAATAGGTTTTTTTCGAAAAGCGGAGTGAGGGCATTTCGACTATTATAATGGAAAATACCCTGACGACTAAATTACAATCTATCCACATTCTTAAAGATGTATGTCATTTATGTCAAAATAACAGGATAAAGCTGAAATTTACAGAGATTGTGCACTTATATATCCCAAAAACCTGTGTTAAATTTGCGATCGATTGTCCAACCCGTTTCTGAGATATTTGCTTTATTAAAAGTTACAGAAATTGTATATATATATATATATATATATATATATATATATATATATATATAAATATACTTCCTATGTAAATATCATAATATGTATCTCTGCTCATATACGGTAAAAATGAATGAAATTTTTATGGTACACTTCTATGACATCGAGAATTGCAATTACGGTTTTTTAAGATTTTCTGGTTATATTTTTTTTCAATTTTTTAATGATTTATTTAAACAATATCAAGTACAAAAATGGTACAAAATTGCGATTTTTACGCTTTTTCTGTCCCAATGATACAATGTTGTTTATGAATAATTTCTGAGATTAGCTCTACACTGTTTAATCAAGAAAACAAAATTATACTACACATATAGCTATCTGACATACATCTTTAATAATAAAGTATTTCTAAAAATGTTTCTCAAATTTATTCAATACTTTAAAATTTCTTTATTTATATGCAGAGATCGCGGTGCTGTTTTGCCCACTTCATGCGCGTGTTAACGCCGTGAGAAGCAATACCCTCTACGCCGCGGCGCCGTGCTGGTCTAGCAGTGTAACGTAGCAAAAGGACCACCGTCGCGTATATAATTATAAATTTTTTTGTACTCTATGCGATGGTGTCTCCTTTGCTCACGGCGCTGGGTCGCTTGGAGTGAAGAAAACAGCACCGCGATCCAGTCTTTAGCTGCTTATATGTATTTTTTATATGTATTTTTTGTACAAATATTTTCTTAAAGAGAAAGGAACACATATAAGTCAAAAAATATAATTTTATAGAAGAGCGGTTTATAAATTAAACTGATTTTAATTTCTACTGTCTCGACTTTGTTATTTTAAATTGTCAGCGTGCAAGCATTATGTGTAAGCTTGTGTAAGCGTTACAAGTGTTTTAGCATAAGTTTAGAATTAGTGATGGATGGAATAAAAGAAAATAGAGCTGTACAATTGGTAGTTAGGCAAATTCAAATCATATATCCATATTTACATACATCCCGATAAATAAACCATACCTCTCTCTTTTCGACCTTTGTAAGCGTTTTGCAAACGCTTGTTGATGAGATTTTTGTACCACATTTAGTATCGGACAACCTGTAATACGGTTATAATGGCACCGAAAAGGAGACCAATACACAGCAAGTTGTGGAATTATTTCAAAGAATTAGAACAATTGCTCGTAAAATGCAGGATTTGTGGAGAAGAAATTCGGTCATCCCGGAAACAAAATGTTACAACAAATTTGAGAGTACACTTATAAGTAAGCATCAAATATTTCCCGATAAAAAACACACAATACCTGACAATCTACGACAATATTACTCGGACTTACTAAAATATAAGGCAAAATGTAATAAATGTCTTAGAATAATATCTTATGTAAAAAATTATTGGAATTTAAAACAACATTTAAAAATACATCCTGACTTGTGTGTGTGTGTGTGTGTGTGTGTGTGTGTGTGTGTCTGTGTGATGAACCAGAGTCAACATAAATAAGTACACATTCAATTGTAATAATCAAACAATCAACAACTAAAGAAAATTGAGCGAAAGTCTTTTATCTCAGGGAGTATTCATATAATAATTATTTACAATTTCGATCATAAATGTGCCTTTCCAATCGTAACACCTGATAAGGTAGAACACTCCCGCACATTTCTCTGGTTCGTATAAAGGAAAAGAAAGAGACAGAATGTTCGAAAAATTTCTCACCCTTTTATTTTGCTTTTCGATATGCTTACTTAGTTATCCGGAAGAACAATAAGGAATCGCGCATTTGATTTCCGGGCTCGCTTACTCCATGCACCCTGTTGGGGAGTTCGCTGGAATTAAATTAGAATCAGTGTGCGTAAATCTTTGCATGTTACTTTACTCGGTATCCTTATTGCTAACATTTCTCTAACAACACCTATATATAATTTTACAAAAAATTATTTTTTATATAATTTGAAAAAAAATTTAATCGATTATATTCATGTTTTATTATTTGTCATAGACGTATACAATTCAGTAATTTAGATTAGGTATTTATTCGTTTGACGTTAGTAATGCAAAAATTCGAGTTGAATATGAAAAATGTTTAGTTCTTATTGATATTCAAATTAAATAGGCTTATTTAATAAAATCTATTACTCAAACCTGTCAATAGTTATTATTTACGTATTATACGGCATCATAAAACGATTTGCCATCCTGTGTGTGCTGGCCGATAATTTCCCTTTCAAAATCATCTTGTTTCTGATCGTCCGTATATCCAGGCAAATTTCCGCCACGTTCTCGCAACAAGCTCGCACGTCTCCCAGAATCTGCGCGTCGACAGAATCTCGAAATTTCTCCCTTACGTGAACCCTACTGTCGCACGCGCGTCGTTCCTGCATCCGGATCTCCAGACGCACGCTCCGATTCTTTTGATCCTTGTTAAGATCCTCGACCAGGTCCCTTCTCACATTACATAATAAATAATTATTAAGAATTTTTATTAGCCGACAACGTTTGTATAGAGCAATTGCATATACACGCATTGTTGATCTTTGCAAATGTCTTTATAGTGATATTGATACTTTATTTGTTACTTTTAGTTTTTGCATATATAACAACAAACTGATTTATTCTAACTTATTCTACAATCTTTCATATAAACATTCTATAGATTTCGATCGCCGCAATTTGTAACTATATCCTACTATCTAAAACACGTATTCACACACACATGTATACACACACGCACATCAAAGAGACCTTTTATAAAATATATGCGTATAAAAAATCATAAATATGTTTTAAACATTTATTTGTTCGAAATTAGTATTATAAAACTTTTAGATATAAATTATTCTCTCTCTCTCTCTCTCTCTCTCTCTCTCTCCCTAACCCTTTCACTCATACAATCTTCACTCCATTTTGAATCACCATATATTAATTACATAATGGCATCAAGTAATGCGTACAATTCTAATATTTAAAAATGATTATTTTTCTGCACAAAAATAATTTACAACTGTGATAGTTTATAAATTATTTTTCCGTTTCTATTTTTAATCATGTCATATTCTAATGCAGAGTTGTAGAAAGCATTTTAAAGTCAGTGGAAGATAAAAATAAGTCTCCCATTATAAAATGTCAAACTCAAGAATCATCTGGTTTACCCGTTTAAGTATTTGAACAACCGAGAAAAGAAACAGCCGCATTTCATGAGTAGGTAATTACTCGCTTATATCATGCATATATAGTGTAACATCTTACTATTAAAATATCAACTTCTTATGTGCACAAAAATAACTTATATAACTACAATACATTAAATAATTATTTTTCACAACATCTCCACGGAAAGTTCGACTTTCCATGCCTGTAGAAAGGGGCAAAAGTGGCCATTTTCACGCCAAGGCTTACTTTTCTTCCTAGGGAAGAAAATTGATACTTTCGCCCTAGGGCGGAAAGTTGTTTTTCCGTCCGCTATGTCGGGTGGAAAGTATCAATTTTCTTTCCTAGGGAGGAAAGTAAGCCCTGACGTGAAATTGGCCACTCTCGCCTCTCTCTAGGCATGGAAGTCGAACATTTCCGTAAAGGTGTTGTGAAAAATATCGTGTGCACCTCGGGTCAAAAGCTTTTTCAGACTCGTGTGATTTGCCGCTCGGGCGGCAAACTTCACAGTCGTCTGAAAAACGCTGTTTTCTCCCCTTGGTGCACAATATACTATTCCGTTTTTATTTTTAATTATGTCATATTTTATTAATGCAGAGTTGTAGAAAGCATTTTACAGTCAGTGGAAGATGAAAATAAGTGTTCCATTATAGAATGTCAAACTCAAGAATCATCTGGTTTGCCTGTTCAATTATCTGAATAAACGAGAAAAAAACAGCCACATTTCACGAGTAATTATTTGCTTATATCATACAGACAGTGTAACATCTTACTATTAAAATATCAACTTTTTATGTGCATAAAAATAATTTATATGACTGCAATACATTAAATAGTAGGGGAGACCGGGACGAAATCGGCCCTTTTTCTTCGGTGCCGATTTTTAACAACAAAATAAATTATTTTAGTGAAATATAGTATACTATTGTCAAGAGTGAACCCTTGGCTACAAAATTTATATAGGCATTTTTGGTCTACGTCGCTTTGTTCAACCGGTATAGAATAAAAACGACAAAGGTGCAAAAATCGAAAAGTCAAAATTCCCGGGGCGGAGTCGTATCTTAATTCTCGGATTGGATTTTAAATAAAGATACATAATTTTGATCATAAAAAATAATAGAATACACTTTATTCATTATTTTTTAGTAGAAAAATGGAAAACGGAAAATAATTTCAAGAAAATCAATTTTCTTTTTTGCTAAAGGGGCTTTTTCATGCTGACGCTCGACGCTTGATTTGAGCGTCAAAACCACGTATGTAAGACCGTGGTCAAAACTGGTCACGTGACCAACTTCATCGATAGAAGGCGAAATAGCATCAAATATGCGAGCGTCAAAACACGTCTAATTATTTTTTAACGATATACACACTTTATTTACAGTCAACGTTTGCAATTGACAAGCAACCCAGGTAGCAAGCACTCGTCATTTTGACGTCAATATTTGGTCATAATTGGTCAGTAACGTCATTCGTCGATTATGTGACGTATATTTAACGTCATGTTTTAATACGTCAAAAAGACTTTGTAAAATGACATTATATAGACGTTTAATTGACTACCCAGGTAGCAGACAGTCGTCATAATGACGTGATTCTTACGTCATTTTATGACGCATGTTACGTCATTTATTCCTAAAGTTTAACGTAAAAATGACATTTTTCACAGTATTTTTCACAGGAATATTCCTACATTTATAAAGTGTTTCGTAACTTTATGAACGACGTGGTGAATTTATGGTATAAGTGGATCTAGTTGCGTGTGTAATTATAGTTTTATGACAACTATTTCATGCAGTGTTATAACTATCAAAAAGATATCATTACAAGATTTTTGAACACTTTAAAGATGTACCTGTTATAGACAAGTACAGTTAATAAGGAAACATCAGGGTGAGAAGATCGTCACTGTCCACTGGATCATCGAAGTCAAGCGACTCGGACGCGGTACTGTGCTAGGATGGGTGACCGCCTTGAGAGCGGCTATACGCACATGGCATGTAATGAAACAGTTAAAAAAGCTTTTTTTTTTTTTAAATAAAGAAAAAAAACATTTTTTTGTAAACGTTTATCAAGTAGACATTTTAAAATTTTAATTTCATAAAAAACATTTCTAGAAACCAGTATGTCGTACATTAGACCTATTTTTGCCGTCAATAAAACGTCAGAAAATGACGTCGTTGGGATGTGACTTAGGACCGTGAAAAATACGTCATTTTTACGTTAAACTTTAGGAATAAATGACGTAACATACGTCATAATATGACGTTAGAATCACGTCATTATGACGACTGTCTGCTACCTAGGAATTGACTGAAACGAGCGGCAAGCGTCAAAGCTGAACACAATTGAGCTTTTGCCATTTAACGCTGGAATTAAAAAGACTATCACGTGACCTATCACGTGATCAATTTTGACGCCCAAATCGAGCGTCGAGCGTCAGCATGAAAAAGCACCTTAACAGTTAAAGCATGTAAAAACAGAGTCTGACGCCTTACGCCTGCACGAAATGCACTGTTTTTCATCGGCTCTGTTTTCTATTATCTCCGATGAGCATACGCAGCACATATTATTTAGCTTTCTTGACTTTGTTTTGGCTTGGAAACGACTTTGCCCCGAACACAAGTTTTAGGTTTGGTCGGTTAGAAAATAATAGAAATCAATAAAAATAAAAAAACTGTACTGGATTCGTGTTCAGCATGCATTACTCTTTAGAATCACTTACTTTAAGATTCGGAGAGACAATAATACTTAAGATATTACAAACTTTCGACGCGGAAGAAATTTTACTTTCGACCTGCGAAAACACGTTTGCTTCGATAAGAATATTACAACATGGCACGTAACCTCACTAAACTCCGTTGGTTACGTGGGCACCATAAACCGCGCTTGGCAGGGGGAAGTGATCCGCGCAGTTCCTTGGGCTTAACGCACCTACGGCAATACCGAGTTCCCGACACCGCGGACATACACGAACAAATATACATACATTCATACACTTACACAGTTTCGAGTTCAAAGTTCTACGAGTTTACGAGTTTATATTACGCAGTTAACTTCTGTTTGGGACGTTTTTATTGAGGCGTTCATGTTAATCTAGTCGAAGTCTCTTTTGTTTTGATGTGATGCAATTAGATTCGGTTTTGCTACTATGACCACATGGGCTACCCCCACGGTCTTTCCTTTATTTGAAGAAAAAAAAAAAACGCGCTTATATACAGTATATTAATGGCGAGTTCACACAACATACAGATTTTGAGATAATTGCAAAAACGACTCCGCCCCGAGGCTGACTTTGTCCCAGTTTCCCCTATATTGTGCACCAAGGGGAGAAAGCAGCGTTTTTCAGACGAGTGTAAAGTTTGCCGCCCAAGCCGAAAAGGCCAGGCGGCAATCCCACGAAGCCAGGCGGCTCTGAAAAAGCTTTCGACCCGAGGTGCACACGATATTTTTCACAACATTTTTACGGAAAGTTCGACTTCCATGCCTAGTAGGCCTGCAACTCAACCGCCAAAAGCCTTCTAAAATGCGAGTAACCGGCAACGACGAGATAACCAGCTCTAACTATGAAATATCGAAAGTACATCGTGTGACAAGTAAATAAACGAAAGTTCGCTAAAGTTCGCGCGTCGGAACAATACAAAATGGCGTCTTGAACATATAGTACGGTAGGATTCTTCTCGATTTTTTTTCACATCTTTGGCTTGATAAAATTGAAATTATTAGTATCGAATTTTATTCAGAAAAGTGTAAACTTTAAGAATATGCATTATAAAACAGTCAAATATATCATTAATAGAGTGAAATTTGGCAAAAAGTCAAATTTTTCGATATTTTTTATATATTTTCTCTAATAAAACACGCCATAACTTTTTTGTGGTTAACTTTTCGACAAAAATGTTCAAATGAAAGTTGTAGAGCGTACTTTTTTACATAAGAAACACCTATAATGGTAGATACAATAATGTTTAAACGTACGTGAAGAAATTTTAATTACGCACGAGGTTGTTGCGTAAAATGATTATAAATATAGATAAACTAACCATTATTGTTATTCTTACTATTAGGATTTTATAATTATTGCCAGAGCTCTTTTAGTTTCAATCATAAATCTACTTACGCACAATACCACGGGAAGGATAAGAGTTGGACTTTAAAAGTGCATTTTTTTTTTACTTTTTTTATTTACTTTTTTTGTACTTTTTTTATTTTCTTTTTTAAATTTACTTTTTTGTTTTTTTTTGTTTTTTGTTCCGACGCGCGAACTTTAGCGAACTTTCGTTTATTTACTTGTCACACGATGTACTTTCGATATTTTATAGTTAGAGCTGGTTATCTCGTCGTTGCCGGTTCGGTAACAAATTTCGGGGTGAGTTGCAGGCCTATAGAGAGGGGCAAGAGTGGCCATTTTACGTCAGGGTTTACTTTCCTCCCTAAGGAAGAAAATTGATACTTTCCGCCCGCTATACCGGGTGGAAAGTATCAATTTTCTTCCCTAAAGGGAAAAGTGGTTACTTTCTGCCCGCTATGCCGCCCTGGCGTGAAATTGGCGACTTTCGCCCCCTCTATAGGCATGGAAAGTCGAACTTTCCGTGGAGGTGTTGTGAAATAATTATTTTATCATCTCTAT